CTGGGATTACAGACGTAAGCCACAGCGCCTGGCCCTTCCCTACTTTTAATGTATACATTCTGTCATGTTATATATTTTTTCTTGATTTTTTAAAATAAAAGCTGCCTTGTTCCCCACTGAGTTAGTATGTTATTAATTTATTTAACTATGTCCCTACTGGACATGCAGATTATTTCTAACTTGGGCACTATAAGAGAGTAATCCTGCAGTGGGGGCAAAACCAGGACCAGCCCAACCCCCAGAGAGAGGAAGAGGGCACGATCCTAGGCAGGCTGGCCAAGCCCAGAACAGGGCTCCTGCCTTGAACAGCTGGGCCTCTGGGAGGCAGGATGGTGGAGCCTCTGGACCCAAAAGACCCAGCCAGAAGGTTCTGGGCTGTTAGCAGGTTGCCCTTCGGGGCAGAGTCAATCTGTAGACAGAGGTCATCATCTCCAGCTAGTTCAGCTTGGGAGTGTGAGCAGAAGAAAACCATGTTTGTACCACACAAGGGAGTGGGCCAAGAGTCTTTGGTACCTGCCAGGCTGGGCTTTGTTAGTTCCACTGGGGTGGAAGGATGGGGCAGAAAGATGGACTTCAGACTAGGGGAGGGAATGGCCACCTACCAAGCCCCTTTCCTCCTTATCAGAATCTTTTCCCTTTTACAGGATGTACTTTTACAAGAATGAGTTAGAGTCAAAGAGTATTTATATGGCTTCTCATTATTCTGATTAAAAAAATTAACAACAACAAAAAAACCAAAAAGCCCCAAGGCACTAAGGGCAACCATGTGGTCAGGTCGACTTCACAATCCAGTGGTGGACAAGCTGAGCTGTTTCCCAGGTTGAAGTTTGTCCACAGAGTCTCATTTAAATGCTGCAGTTTCCCCCTCTCTGTTTGGATGTGATTCAAAGTTACTGATGGCACAAAGTTACTGTATTTTATAGCTCTTCAACTATAAAATCAAATTTTAGGAAAGTCCCAGTCTCTGGGGGAACTTTACAAATGATAACATTTGCTTTTGTCATAAACTCATTTCTAGCCTGGAATTTGCCATCGAAAGCAAGAGACAATAATCCTACCATATGGCAAGAAAAGTGGTACCTGCCTCTGCCCCATGGCGGGAAGGCCTTGCTCAAAGAATGCTAGGATATTCAGGTGGCCAGGTCTTAGTGATGCTAACACATTCACTTAGCCAGGAGTATAAAGTGCCTTTAAGGAGATTTGAAACACTCCTCTGATAATTCCTCTACTGTCCTATAAGGCAGCAGTCCTGGGGACTGGCTTTTTGGAAGACAATTTGTCCACAGACCAGGGAAGGCAGGGGGCAGGGGGATAGCTTCAGGATGATTCAAGCACATTACATTTATAATGTACTTTTTTCCCTGTTATTGTTACATTATAATACAGAATGAAATAATTATACAACTCACCATAACATAGAATCAGTGAGATCCCTGAGCTTATTTTCCTTCAACTAGACAGTCCCATCTGGGGATGATGGGAGACAGTGACAGATTATCAGACATTAGATTCTCATAAGGAGCGTGCAAACTAGATCCCTCACATGCGCAGTTCACAATAAGGTTCATCCTCCTATGAGAATCTAATGCCACTGCTGATCTGACAGGAGGCGGAGCTCAGGCAGTAATGTGATCAGTGGGGAGCAACAGTAAATACAGATGAAACTAAATACAGTTGAAGGTTCACCCACCACTTCCCTACTGCTTCGCCCACCGTGACCCGCCCACCGCTCACTTCCTGCTGTGTGGCCTGGTTCCTAATAGCAGTTGGGACTCCTGCTGTAAGGAGCTTCTGCCCCTGGCCTGGGCCCTGTGCTACTGTCCTCCTCACCCTCACCTCCTTCAGAAATCCCTCCTCATGGACCCCCCACTTGACTGAGGACCTCCTCAGCACCCATACGTCTAATGTGTAATATGTTAGTAACACGTATTTGTTGCTTTGTGGCTTTGTAAATATCACTCTGTTGTCTTAAGTACTGTGAGGTCCTCATATACAGACTATCTTTTACACCCAAATGGCAATAAAATAATTTTATTTTAGTTTTATTATTATTGTTAAATTCTGCAACATAGGATTGTTGAGGGCTTCCTTAGGAAAGAAGAATTTATTTTACCTGAAATCAAACCAAAAATGCTTCCCTCCCCATTTTCTTTAAGCTCCACGAGGGCAGGGAATTAGTCAGCCTTGTTCAGGGCTGTGTCCCTATGACCTAGGAGGATGTCTCACCACACAGAGTTCCCAGGCGGGTTGGCAACTATTTATGCTGAGGGAACATGTTAAAGTCTGCTGGATACCAGGTGATTTCAGGGCATTTGTGTCCCTCCTTCAGTGGTTCAGCACATGGTAAAAGGTGAGCTAGTTTAGCAGCAACTAGACTTTGCTAACTACAGCAAGCAGGTGGCTGGCTTCTCTCTAAGCCTTCAACTGGCTCTGGCTAGACGGGAGGTGAGCTACGGGAGGAGAAGCCAGAGGGAGGGGTTCACTGAGGAAGCGGGTCTCCAGACTCAGCTAGGAGAGATTTACCAGATGCATGAACTCTTGTGTGGCCCCTGCAGAGGCAGACGGGCCTCCCCGGCTCCACCTTGGTGTGACGGGAAGCACTTATGCAGCTGCCACCATCCCAGTGCTGAAAGGTGCATCGCCCTCAAGCCTTGGCAGGAAAAAAAGGTTATACTGGTTTAAAGTAAGGAACTGTGCTCCATTTATTCCACAGATCTGGTTTAAATGTTGAAGGCACCTGAGCCTCACACCAGCACACACAGGACAACGGTGTCTCTCTGACCTGATGCCAGTACCCATATGCAGGACCACATGATCTTAGCCTGGACAAGTTAGTTGTCTATGCTCCAGAGAATAAAGTTGCAACTTGCTCCTTATTGCATGAGGTTGGTGTGCCAATAGTTAGTTATGTGTACGAAGCCCTCTGAGGTCTCAAGGAAGAGGCTGCGTAGGCTATGTCTGCAAAATTTATAGCACCTCACGGATTTTAGTTTCCTAGTTTCTTGAGCCTTCTTTGCCTTTGTTCAAACACCTTAGTTTGTTGTGTCAATCATGTGCTCTTGCTGACAGCAGATGGCGCTACTGCAGCAAAATGAGATGAAGCGATTGTCATTTTAAGATTTTGTGCACTGAAGAAAAAGAAAACAAAACAAATGTCCTAGCTCTGCTCCCTTGGATCCTGGGGTAGGCCCCTTGCTCATGTCTTTCTTATCCCAGTGACTGGGCCCGACAGGACTTTGGTTAATTCTGGTTACATGTGGCTATGAGCTGGGAGTTGGATATTTCTAGTCACACCAAGATAAAGACACATGTCCTCTCAGCTGACTCCCCAGTGTCCAGAGAAGTGAAGAAAAAGATTCCTGGTAGGAGGATGGGGGACTAGCCTGGTCCTGGAAGGGGACAGCTGGAGAGACCACTGAGATCACTAACCCCAGGGACTGCTAAATGTGGCTAAACATCAAAAGTCAGCTATGAAATGTATCCAAAATGCAGATTTCTGAGGTCCCATGCCTCCAACTTCATGAATCAAAATCTCCAAGGGTGGGGCCCAAGAAACAGAATTTCTTTTTAACATGATCCTCCAAGTGATTCCTTATGAAGTGAGGCAGTCACTAGTTCATTGGACCAGTCTTTGTGATCTGCTGATCAAACCCACCTCCTTCATTTTACAGTGAATGACGATGATGACAATAATGAAAATGAACAGTGGCTTACGTCCTGTGGGCTGGGCACTGTTCTAAGCACTTCATATGCATCAACTCATCTAACTTTCAGTGGTGCTATGAGGTAGGTACTGCTTATTATCATCATCCCCATATTGCCAGCAAGGAAAAACAGAACCCAGACCTTGGCCCTGGGACTCAGGAAGGGTTTCATCAGAGATGTTTCTCATGTCTGTTGTGGGTACATTTAGATCATCTTTTTCAGCTAGCTTTAAGCCTCATAGGGAGAGGCTGAATCCTGGGCCCATATGTACCTTTTGGGTGTGCTGGCTTTAAATTCCAGTAATATGTATTTTTAGAAATAATATAGATAGCCTCTATCCATCAGAAAGTAGCAAGGTATGTTTAAACTGCAGCATGAGATATACAGGTGAGGCAAAAAGAAAAGATTCTTTGAATAACGATAAGGACTGTTTGGCATTAGACTGGATCAACAGGGAGGTGTTTTTAAACTTTCCCGTGTGTTTCAAATTTTTTCAGAAGATTTTTAATAACTGGTTATACTCATTTGTAATACAAAAGACACCATGAAGAGTACAGAAAAAAATATGAATGTATTTGAAGAGCCTAGAGAGATGTGTGTGTATAGTGTGTGTGTGTGTGAACATGTGAATGTGGTGACTCGAGAGAGACCTGGGACACCAGTGATCTTGAGGGGAATCAGGGCAGATGACCACGCCCTCCTAGGACTCATCCTGTGGGGTATCTACTGGCAAGAGACTAAGGGCTGGGAGAAAGCTTGACCCAGTAGATCAACTCCTTTGTGATGATGCCTAGGATGCCTGAGAGAGATGAATACATAAAGGTAAGGACACTGATTAAACGATTTTTACAGATCCCTCCCAGATGTCATCTGAGACTCAGCTCTTGCAGGAAGGAGGGATCTGGGATCCTAATGCCCAGCTTTCAGATCCCAGCTTGCCAGTCTCCTGTGCTCTTTCATTAACCCACGTTTCTATAAAAACTCCTGAAGCCTGAACAAATTAAGTCATCTGACAGAGATTCCCTAGGGAGACAGCAACTATCAAAGGGTGTTTTGACTTCTCCAATTACAGATCTGATCCCAAAATGCAGCTGCATATCCCAGGCTTAAGGGGTCTGATGGGACAACTCCAATGTGTGATACGCAAACAAAACAAGGTGAGTCCAAGACTCAGAAACTTCTACTCAGTTGGCCACAGTGTTCCCCGGTCTTTACAGAACAGTGTGTTGTGCGTTGGGGCATCTCCATAAACAAGGGCTAACTGAAGGTCCTGATGGAAGGCGGAGATGACTCACCTCAGTGCACTGTACCCCTGGCACACACTGACGCAGCACAGGACCTTCTCTTGGTTTGCCTGAGTCTCCCCCAAGTATTTGCACACGATGTTACCACCCAGGCTGAAGCCCACGACGACCAGCTGGGTCAGGGGATATGTCTTCTTGATGTAGTTCACCATGGCTCCAAATTCCCACGTGCAGCCTGTGGGCAAAAGGGTGAGGTTGCTCAATCATTTCAGGTGCATTGTATATGGAGAAAATGCAAGCTGGAACGTTACTAAATGGGTGCCAGTACACTAAAAGAGAGAGAAGTATGTATATATGTGTGTGTGTGTGTGTGTGTGTGTGGATGTGTGTGGAGAGAGAGACAGACAGACACTGCTCTTTGGCTATCCAGAGAGACGTTCCCAGATGCCCCTTGGGATAAGAGGAAACAGGGCCTCAGCAGTGCCCAAGAGTGGAGGTACCATGTATCAAATGTACAATGCTTCTTAAAAAGTAGGTCACAAGAACCTTGTCTAGATGCTCATGAATATCAAAGCAGATTTCAGGGTGTGCATGAGCACATATGCTCACACACAGACCTAAATAAAAGCTAGGCCTGCCTGGGCAAAATGGTGAGACCCCATCTCTACACACTACAGGTGTGTCCCTGTAGTCCCTGCTACTTAGGAGGCTGAGGCAAGAGGATCCCGTCGGGGAGGCAGAGGCTACAGTGAGCCAAGATCACATCACTGCATTCCAGCCTGGGTGACAGAGTGAGACCCTGTTTCAAAAAAATAAAATAAAATAAAATAAGGTAAATAAATAAATAAATGCAAGAGCAAAATCCTTTAAGATTAGCTTCCTAGGCTACAAATTGGAATGCTATACCCATGTGTTTGATGATGATTCATGGTGTTAAGAAAAGTAGCAAGTGGATGTTATTTACAGGATCTTCTTGACAGACTTGGAAAGGAGAGGAAAGAGAAACTTCAGTCCAGAGGGACTGCCAGGATGCTCTGTAGGATTAGGGTAAAATGTTCTTGGTGACGTAGGGACAGGGTGTCAAGGGAGGCAGGCTCATTCAAAAATACACAGAGGAGACCTCTGAACAGAGAGGGTGTTTGGGCCTTGTTTGCCCAGGAGGTATGATCTCAGCTGGTGTCCCCTTGGGAAGTTACTGAAGCCATGTTATGTCTCAGCAGCTTTGCTAAGAGGAGGAGGTGAATGGCCATATTACGAGTGAAGGGATTCATCACATCCTTCTAAGGCCCAACCCCAAACTCTTTAGGGAGCCAATTTAAAATCTAACAGGGAAAGTTAGGGATGTCTACACAAAGCATATACAAAATACACTGGCATGAGAAGAGTACGGATTTACAATGGAAACGGGAGTTGTTGACTTTGGCACCAGCTCAGAGGTTTTGGCATTCTTAATAGAGTTGAACAGAGCTCCTTCCCTAGTCATCAAGCCATGGGGGAAACTATCTTTTGAGCCTGGGGTAAACTCCCCTTATATCTGTCTTCCTTTTGTAGTAGGATGTAGCCTAAGCCAGGCTGGCACAACCCCATGCAGTTCTTAAGCTGCAGTATGCATAGAATCACTTGGAAAAGGTGTTAGAAATGAGCATTCCTGGGCCTAAACTCCAGAGAAGCTGATTCTGTAAGAAGGGGGCCAAGCCCAGGAATCTACACCAAATTTGTTTTTGAGTAGGTAATTCATGCCCATGGTAGAAAATTCAAATGCTGTAAAAGATGGAGTGAAAGGTACGTTTCCTATATTCTTTTTAAAAATACCAGTGGTAACATACACATTGTTTGGTGCCTCATTTTTTCCCTTTACAATATGTCTTGCAATATTATGCATCAATACACTTGAAACTGCCCTATTCTTTTTTATTTTTAATGGGGAATAACATACATACAGGAAAATGCATAATCCATGAAGTTTTACACATTTACACCCACATAAGCATAGCCCAGATGAAGATGCAGAATATTTCTGACACCCCTGGAGGCCTCCTCATGCCTCCTCCCAGACAATATCCCCTATACTTTTGACTAATAATCATCATCTGGAAGTGCTGGGGGCTTAGAAGGAGCTTAAGCAAAAAATGCTTAAAACTAAGGGAAAAACCGGGCCAAGAGCTACTTCCTCCCAAACAGCAGGACCCAGGCACCACCTCCGAGAAGGCAGCCCATCTCCCTCTCCAGTGAGACAGCAGAGGATCAAGTTGCCTATTTTTCTCCCTCTCACACTCAGCAAAGGCTGGGGCAGTTCGCAGGCCTTCAATAAAGAGTTGCTGAATTGAGTGGATTCTGATGACAAGGCCTCTGAATGGGCCCTGAGGACAGGGAAGAAACAAAAAGTGGTCTGGAGGGAACTTTGAACTCTTAACTTTGGAATGTGCAATGCCAGACTGTTGTCCCAACCGAAGTCAGATTCATTCAAGTTTCTTTTTGTTTGTCTGTTTGTTTTTGAGACAAAGTCTCACTCTGTCACCCAGGCTGGAGGCAGTGGCACAATCTCAGCTCACTACAACCTCTGCCTCTGGGATTCAAGTGATCCGCCTGCCTTAGCCCCCGAGTAGCTGGGGTTACAGGCGTGTGCCACCATGTCTGGCTAATTTTTGTATTTTTAGTAGAGACGGGGTTTTGTCTTGTTGGCCAGGCTGGTCTTGAACTCCTGATCTCAGGTGATCTGCCTGCCTTGGTCTCCCAAAGTGCTGGGATTACAGGCTTGAGCCACCGTGTCAGGCCAAGTTTCTCTTTTTAAGAAGGTAGCAATGGAAGGAATATTATGCCTCCAGGTAATGCTGGATTTCAAAATGAAGCTGTGATGTAAAAAGGGGGATGTGCAAACAAACAGCTGAGATCACAATGAGCAATTAGCTGATATCAGCTTCTACACTATGCAACAAACAAAAAATTCAGAAATCCCATTGGAGACATTGTTCACCTCCCTTGGGCCGTAACAGGCACTGAAAACTGAGCCTTAAAGGAACAGCCTGGCCTCATGGCTAAGTGAAAAGGCTCTGTGGCCAGACTGCTTGGGCCTACCACTGAGTAGCCCCAAATGTTCTCAACTTCTCTTTGATGACAAGTAACCCCTGTATACAGGGAAAATCTACAGCTTCCAGGCACCTTCCTGGAGGCTTAGAACCCGCAGGAATAAGATGAGGCCTGGGAATGGGAACTTTCAACAAACAGCCCAGACAATTTTTATAAGGAGGAAACTGCAAAATATTGTTACCATGGGTAAGTTACCAAACTCTCCTAGGTCTGTTTCATCATCTGTAAAATGGAGGTAATAATTGTAAAGACCTCACAGAGTTGTCTAGAGATCTGAATAAAGTGATATATATAAACAGCTTAGATCAGGGTCCAGAGCATAATAAGCATTCAATGTTAACGGCTATAACTCACTCTGATTATTTTTTCTTTTAAAAAAATGTAAGTGTACCCATGTTTATAGCAGCATTATTCACAAGAACCAAAAAGTGGGGCCAACCCAAGTGTGCCTTGATGGATGAATGGATAAGCGCAATGTGGTACATGTGTACAATGCAACATTATTCAGCTTTAAAAGGGAAGGACATCCCGTCACATGCTACAGCATGGAAGAACCTTGAGGACATTATGCTAAGTGAAGTAAACCACTCACAAAAGGACAAATACTGTAGGATCCTACTTATGTGACATATCTGGACTAGTAAAATTTATAGATGGAAAACAGAATGGTGGTTGCCAGAGGCTAGGGAGAGGGGATAGGGCGTTATTGTTTAATGGGTATAGTTTTAGTTTTGCAAGACGAAAAAATTCTGGAAATTGGCTGCAAAACAATATACTTAACACTACTGAACTGTAAACTTAAAAATGGTTAGGATGAAATATTATTATGTACGTTTTATCACAATTTTAAAAATGTTTAAACAAGAATGTAGCTTATCTAAAATTTAGGGTTTTCTCTAAAGTAGTGTTCTTCAACCTGATTGTACATTAGAATCACCTGGGGATGTTTTTTAAAGCAGGAAAAATATTTATTACAGGGTATTAAACGGCCTACTGAATCGAGAGGGTTAAAGAAATAGCCTCGGCCGGGCGCGGTGGCTCAAGCCTGTAATCCCAGCACTTTGGGAGGCCGAGACGGGCGGATCACGAGGTCAGGAGATCGAGACTATCCTGGCTAACACGGTGAAACCCCGTAAAATACAAAAAACTAGCCGGGAGAGGTGGTGGGCGCCTGTAGTCCCAGCTACTCGGGAGGCTGAGGCAGGAGAATGGCGTGAACCCGGGAGGCGGAGCTTGCAGTGAGCTGAGATTCGGCCACTACACTCCAGCCTGGGTGACAGAGCAAGACTCCGTCTCAAAAAAAAAAAAAAAAAAAGAAAAAAAAGAAATAGCCTCAAAGCCAAACACCTGGGGAGCTTCTAAAACAACCGTACTAATGCCTGGGTCTTCCCCAGCTTAATTAAATCAGAATGTCTGGGGGTGGGATCTGGCCATGGGTGTTCTTCTACAAGATCCTCAGGTGCAACCTCTGTGGCTGTGGAGCACTGCTCTGAGGAACAAGGCTCTCTCCATCTCAGACCAATATGAGAAAGCATTTTTTTGAAGCACTCTCTCATCTGTTTCTGGGCCACCCCTTTTCAGACTCCCTTTCCTTTCTACTTGCAGTAAACAACCTTCACAGATGGGGGCGCTGCTTAGCTTTTCGGAAGCTTAGCCTGGTAGCAGTTTTCCAAACATTTCCTCAAAGCAAGGTTTCCACAGGTAGCACATCCCCGTTCAACACAATCAGGCGCTTCCTGTAGATCCACTAATACCTAACAAAAAATTTAAATCCCTTTAAATATATATAATTGCTTTCTGGTAATCTTTCTTGTAAAGAGTGAATTGGAAAAGCTGCACGGAGGTTATATATTACTGCAAGAATGACGTTCTAGCTCAGTGGTTCTCAAAGTGTGGCCCCGAGCAAGTAGCATCAGCATTGCCTGGGAACCGGTTCAAATGCACATTCCAAGCCCACTGAATCAAAAACTCAAGCGGGTGATGCCTAAACAGAGGGCTTGCTAAAATGAGCTTGCAGGACCTCACCTCCAGAGATTCTGATTCCACTGGTCTGGGTGGGCTGACAATATGCATTTCTAACAAGTTCTCAGGTGATGCTGACGTTGGTCCAGAGACCGTACTTTGAGAACCATTGTCCTAGTCGACAGA